GGTGGACAAATATATGGACCAAAATAAAGTGGATTTCATTAAATTCATTGAAAACTTTCAAAAGGATCGCAAAGATATGAAACTCTATGTCCAGGAAAAGGCAAATATGATTAGACTGTTAAATGGCTCGCCATTGACTAAAGAGCCTAGTGACCCTGATGATTTGTCTACTATTAGTAAAGGCAATCCCAATGACAACTTTTTTGATTTCTTAAAATAGTTTATATTTTTATTAAAACTTATAAATTGATAAATAGATTCATACTGTAATACTTGTCCAAAGATTTAGGCTACCGGTGCCCATCAACATAACAAACAATAAATTGATTAAAACTTTTATTTACACTAATCGTTAACAGAAAATAATTTCTTACAAGTCATAGAAAATATTATAAAAAACATTACACTTTATATCACGTAAGCATACATTTGGCACTGAATTGTATCACTCGTATACAGGTATTAGACAATTGAATTGAAAAAACTAGATTTAAATGCACTTTAAATTGTGTGACAAATACTTAACAAATAACTAGATTTATAGACAACTTATCGGACAAATGGTATCAAAAATAAGCCATCGTTTGGCAGATAATCGTAAAAAATAACTACACTTTTGGTTCACTAACTCTCACTACAAATCATATGACAAACAAATGGCACATAAAAAATGAGATCTAATTACAAATCATTCATTACTTTGACGCCAATTATCACTACAACTAATCCCCGAAATCCATGTCCATTTCATTATCACTGATATCATCGACCATAGCATTAGCCACGGACACCACATCCCTATCCATCGACACCTCCCTATCCATCGACACCCCGCTATCCATCGACACCTCCCTATCGATCGACACCTCCCTATCGATCGAAACCTCCCTATCGATCGACACCTCCCTATCGATCGACACCTCCCTATCGATCGAAACCTCCCTATCGATCGAAACCTCCCTATCGATCGACACCTCCGTATCCTCTAAAAAATAAATCAAAACAAGTGATAAGACAACCAAACACCGGAAGAATGTCCACACAATCTCCAGACGCATACCATTATATAAGACATTAAGCTGTTGGGCCGCCTCTACCATCACCCGGAACTGATCCCTACGCGCCTCGATCTTACTGTCCAACTGAGCCCTCGAGGTCTGCAATCGCCGGATCTCGACCTCTAAGTCTCGCAACTTCTTCAGCGATTCCGTGCGCTCGCAATGGCTGTTGATGTCCACAGCCATCGACTGATAGATCCGCGCGTTTTCTCTGCGCCTTTTGGCG